GCCGGTCCGCGAGCTTCCTCCAGCTCGCAGCGGCGCCCCCGGCCTTGCCCGCGCGCGCCCGCAACCCAGCCGCCCCGCAGGCCCCCTGCAGCCGCCCAGTGCCGAGCCAGCCGCAGCCTGGCTCCCCGGTGCGCCGCCCTGCAGCGCCAGCGCCGCCTCCGCCGCCTGCAGCCGCCTTGGCGCCGCCTCTGCCCTCAGCCTCCCCCTCCTCCGCCTAGCGCCGCGGCGCCCTCTGGCCGCCCGCTGGGCGCCGCCCCGAGCGCGGCGGCCGCCCGCCAGGGCCTGGCTTGGGTGGCGGCCAGCACCGCGTCCGCAGCGTGCCGCTGCAGCACGCAGCCGAGGGCCTGCTGGAGCTCGCGGATGGCCGCCGAACGTCCCACGTCGTCAGCAGGCGCCAGCTTTTCGGCGAGGGCCGCCGCTTCCTCCCCCAGCCGCCCGTGGTCCTCCACTACAAAGGGCAGGCTCGCTTCCTTCTTCCCGCTGCTGCTGCGGCAGCCCCGTCCCTCCTCGCAGCCCCGAGCGCCAAGGCGTCCTGGGAAACCGCGCTGACGACCGTGAGGTCGACCAAAAGCGGTTCAGCGGCGCCGGGCGCGTGGATCACCAGGTCCATGCGCGCCTCGGGGCTCTGCGGAGAGGCGTGCGGGAGCAGCACCTCGCGGTGCACCGAGCAGCCCTGCGCCTCGCACCACTCCGCGAGCGCTGCGCATCCCGCGTCGTGCCGGCGGACGAGCCAGCCGCCGACCGGGCAGGCCCGCGCGCGTCTGCCCTTCGGGTCGAGCGGCGCGCCACAAGTCCCGCCATTGGGGTGGCGGTGCTGGCAGAGCCCAGTGCAGCCCGGCAGGTCGAGGTTCAGGCGAATTCCCATTGCGATGCTGAACTGGGCGTTGCTCAGGAGGTGGCGCGCCTTCGTGGGGGCCTGCAGCCAGCCGCTCGCACCTGGCCTTCCTGCCGAGCGCAAGGCGGCCGCCGCGGGAGGGCCCTCGCCTGCCGCGAGGTCGGCAGCCGCAGCGAGAGGGGCCGTAGCCAGTGAGTGCTGCGTTGCTGCCAGTCATTCGTCGCCCACCTGGGCCGTAGTGTCCCCCAGCGCCTCCTGCAGCGTGGCCGTGGCCGCAGGGAGGCAGCGCCTCGCCCAGGGGCTGAGGGCGGCCAGGGCGCTGGCGTCCGTCAGTCCCAGCCTGCTCAGGCAGCGCGGCACGCTGTGGTGCCAGGAAGCGGCGTGGGCGGCAGGCGCGGTCAGCTCCACGCTCTGGAACCCAGCGCCGCCGTCCTTCCCAGCGAGGAAGAGCTGCTTGCCCGTCGTGCTGCTCAGCTGTTGTAGTCCGAGGGCGTGCTGCGCCTCCGCCGCTAGCGCTGCGTCCATGGCCCGGGCCTCAGCCTCCGGGATGCCGCAAGTGTGGGCCACGAGCGTGTAGTCAGAGCCCGTCTTGAGTCGGAGCAGCGCCGCGGCAGTCTGTCGGTCGAGTCCCGCCGCCTGCAGCTGGCGCAGCCGCAGGAAGAAGCGCGCGCACTTCTCTGCCAGCGCGGACATCTCTGGGCCCCCCTCGGCCAGGATGCTCCCCGCGGCTAGAGCGACAGCAGGGGCCGCGGGCACCGGCGGGAAGGTCCCGTGCCTTAGGACGAGCGCCCGCGGCTCCACCTCCCACCAGCCCGTCAACGCGGCCACCGGCACCTCCCGGCCAGGACTCAGCTTGGTCTTCGACGGGTTGGGCCGCAGCCGCACTTCGGCGCAAGCCCGCCCGAACGCCTCCTCAGCGGGCTGCGCGGCCGCCGTGGCACAGACGACGTCGAGGTCGTCCTGGTAGGCGTAGCTCCTCCCAGGGTCCGTTTCGAGGCCCGCCTCGCGCTCGACAGCACCCACCACCTTCTTGTAGCAGAGCGGGAAGACCATGTTGGTCAGGCCGTTTCCTTGGTCTCCGCCGCGCTCCTTCGGGAGCTGCGTCCTCGCGCCGTCCCGCGCGACGTGAACGTGCTCGGTGGCGGTGCTCATGGCCAAGCGGGTCCACGGGAGCAGGTCAGGGACCAATTCCTGAACCGCCTTGGCGGCGGCCTCGCGGCAAAACTCGCTGCGGGCGTTGCTCACGCCCAGCGCGAGCTTGCAGCACCCAGGCCGAGTGTCGAGGTCCAGGAGGGCCGCCTTGTGCATGCGTTCCGCTCCGCGTGGTTCCCCGACTGAGTACTCCTTGCCCCCGAGGGCTGCCGCGACCCTGCTGCGGAACACGCGGCCGACTGCCTTGGACGCGGCCCGCCTGTGCACGCCCCCCAAGGCGAAGGGACGGACTTTGTCCCGCTCCTCCCGGTCGCCTGCCAGGATGCGCGCCGACAGCCATGGCCCGTGGACCTCCGCGGCCACCTGTCTGAGCTGCAGCTTGAGCGCTACTTCTGCGAAGCTTTCCCATGGCGCCGAGTACCCCGGCATCCACGACCAGTGCTCGTTCCTGGACCCGCCGGGGCCTGCGCCTCTGTTGCGAGGCGCGTGGCGGTACGCCTTCTGCAGCTTCGCCAGAAAGCTTGCGGTGTCCTCCTCCGACGGCAGGCTCTCAGGCAGCACTGGTTGAGCTTCAGCTCGAGGGAAGAGGTCTGGGAGACATCGCCGCGCTTTCGCGTCGGGTGCCAGCTCGAGCCTGCCGTCCACGACCCTCAAAGCCTCCCGCTGGTCTTCGTCAGCGAAGGCCTCGGCCACACTCGCGACGTCTCCGGCCAGTTGCTGTGCCTCCGTCGGGGCAACGCTGCCCTGCCCAGGGCGCGGCACCGCCGACTCCTGCCACGACACGCCCCACGCGCCTTCCCAAGCCAATCTGGTGCGTCTGGCGAGGGTCCGCGCCAGCGTCTCTCCTCGTTGGCCTCGCGCTCCTCCTCTCCTGTTCCGCGCCGTCGCGAGAACCAGCCGATCCAGAAAGCAAAAGGCCTTCAAGTTCCGCGCCTCCTCCTTGCCCCCCGTTCGCTCCGAGCACGGCGTCGCACACGGCCTTCCGGAGGTCCGCAATCGCGTAGCGGACGGCCTCCGGCACAACGCAGACCGTAGGGATGGGGTCGTGCAGCTCTTCCCAGGAGATCCCGTCCCAGAAGCCCATGCGCAGCAATTGTAAGTACTGCACCGCGTCGCCCAGCGCCAGCTGCGGCGGAACCGCGGCCTCCTCAGCCAGGGCGGGGGCGGCTGCTCCAGGCACTACTCCTCCACCTCCTTCTCCTCGCATTCCTCCCGCAGCTGCGTGCGCAGTTTGCGCCTCGTGCTGCCTCTCCAGGCGAAGGGAGGCTAGCCGCTAGACCCTCGACCGGGCCGCACAGGTGGGCCACACACCTTATGTGGTGCACCCGTGCACCAGGCCCGCCGCGGCGTACTCGAGGCGCCCTGGCAGGGACCTCTCCGAGGCACGTCGCGCACATGGCCATGCTCCGCGACGTAGGGGTGGAGATGGCCCAGGCTGGTCCTGCAGCCGACTCCACAGCCCCCGCCCCGTCCTCGTCCACCTGCATGGCCCCGCCCTCACCACCAACCTGGCGCCGCCGCCACTGCCCACGCGCCGCGGCTGCCACGTCGACGTCACCCTCCATCGCCCCAGGGGGGGGGGGGGAAGGAGGGAGCAGGGAGGAGTAGAGTGAGCGGGGAGGGAGGGCCCGGCCGGGCAGTGGCTGCGGCGACTCGGGCCTTCTCCTCCTCCTCCTGCTCCTCCTCCTCCTCCTCCTCCTCCTCCTCCTCCTCCGCCTCCTCCTCCTCCTCCTCCTCCTATTCCTCCCCCATCCCGATCCCCCCCCCGCCTCCTTTCCGTCGTCGTCGTCCTCCTCCTCCTCCTCCTCCTCCTCCTCCTCCTCCTCCTCCTCCTCCTCCTCCTCCTCCTCCTCCTCCCCCCCCTCCTTCCTCCTTTCTCGTCGTCCCCCTCCGTCCCCCCCTCCTGTTCCTCCTCGCCTCGTCGTCGGCATTCTCTTCGTCCTCGTACTCGTCGTCGTCGTCGTCGTCGTCGTCGTCTGCCTCCTCCTGCTCCTCGCTCTGCTCCTCCTCCCCTCCTCCGCGGAGCGCGCGCGCGCGCGCTGGGGGGGTGGGTCGCGGGCTTGTTCAGTGAACGTAGTTTGGGTCGCGGGTGGGTCGCGGGCTCTCCACCTCCACTTGGAAGGAATTCAAAAGCAGCCCGCCGCAGGCGCCGAAAATTTGGATTTGTACACTGAACGCGGTTTGGGTCGCGGGTGGGTCGCAGGTTCTGGAACGAATGCAAAAGAAGCCCGCCGCAGGCGCCGAAAATTGTGGGTGGGTCGCGGGGTGGGTCGCGGGTGGGTCGCGGGTGGGTCGCGGTGGGTCGCGGGGGTCGCGGTGTGTCGCAACGAATGCAAAAGAAGCCCGCCGCAGGCGCCGAAAATTGTGGGTGGGTCGCGGGGTGGGTCGCGGGGGTCGCGGGTGGGTCGCGGTGGGTCGCGCGGGCGCGTTTGGGTCGCGGGTGGGTCGCAGGTTCTCCATCTGGAACGAATTTACAATAAACCCGCCGCAGGCGCCGAAAATTGTGGGTGGGTCGCGGGTGGGTCGCGGGTGGGCGGTCGCGGGTGGGTCGCGGGCGCGGTTTGGGTCGCGGGTGGGTCGCAGGTTCTCCACCTGGAACGAATGCAAAATAAACCCGCCGCAGGCGCCGAAAATTGTGGGTGGGTCGCGGGTGGGGTCGCGGGTGGGTCGCGGTGGGTCGCGTGGGTCGCGGGTGGGTCGCGGTGGGTCGCGGGTGGGTCGCGGGTGGGTCGCGGAGTGGGTCGCGGGTGGGTCGCGGAAGGGGTCGCGGGTGGGTCGCGGGTGGGTCGCCGGGGGGGTCTCGGGGTGGGTCGCGGACGAGTCGCGGGGTGGGTCGCGGGTGGGTCGCGGTTTGGGTCGCGGACGGGTCGCGGGGTGGGTCGCGGGTGGGTCGCGGGGTGGGTTGCGGGTGGGTCGCGGGTGGGTCGCGGGGTGGGTCGCGGGGTGGGTCGCGGGTGGGTCGCGGGGCGGGTCGCGGGTGGGACGACGACAACAACAAACAACAAACAACAAACAACACACAACACACATCCGTAGCCATTTTGGCTCAAGTCGTTTGGGCTCAAGAGCTCCGCCCATTATCGCACGTCTTCAGGCAGCCAGCGTGCATCATCAGAGTTGAGGTCAATGGCGAAGTTACTAACACACCACGATAGATATCACCTCCATGCTTTCCTCGGTCTGTGTGCTTTGCTGCACTTTGCCTTTCGCTTCGGCTCGTTAGTTCTTGGCGGTGTGGACAATTTCGCTCCGACAGTGACCTCCGCTCTGTGCCTTTCCGTGCACTTCCTGCTCCACGCGACAAGTTTTCAGTTCGCTTTGCCTGCCCAGAGGATCATGAGCAAGCCGATGATCTGGCCAGAATTCCGCGTCCATAACGCCATCTTTGCGTACCGTCACCTTGTGTGTTGCGTCATCGGTATTTGGTTTCCGGACGTTTGGTGCAGGAGCAGCCCGTCCATCCTCTGCCTCGGCCTCAAGATTGCTATCTTGAGCCTTACTTGCTGGGCCGCAGACGTGGCAACCGAGAGGCTCGGTAGCAGGGAGGACCGCACCACGAACGCCATGCCGTACCCCGCAAGCATGTCCGCGCGAGAGATTGCCATCGTGAAGAGGTTCTACGCGAAGTCCCAGTTCGCCGCCACCACCCTCTCCGTGTTTGGAACCCCGATGCTGTCCTTCCTGTCCGTGCTGGCCATCGAGTTGGCGTCTTTTCTCATGACGCTGGTGCGGAAGGGGAAGATCGAGGCTCGCACGTACCACGCTCTCTACGGCTTGGGGCTATTTGTCATGCTCCCTGCCCTCGTGGCTACGCTGCTCTCTGGCGATCTTGAGGCTGAGCTGGCAACCTATCGGGCGCTGTGTGTCGCCTGCGTGGCCGTGCAGGGGCGCCTCGTCTGGAAGTGGGGGAAGTATTTTACGTGGGTCGTCTCCCCGGTGGTTGGCTGCGTGATGGCCTCCGCGCTGGCCAGTGCGGTACACTTCAAGTGGGTCTGCTGGATCGGAATGGCCTGGTCGGCAGGCGAGACCTTGCTATACCGGCCAGAGCAGCCGAAAGCCAGTGGCACAGAGTGTCCAGCGGCCAAGACGTCTGGCAGGGGCAGCTCCTTCTTCGGCTGGGTCGCGGCCCGGCCGATCCTGTGGAACGCGTGACGCGGCAGCCCCCATCCCCCTTCTCCCCGGGAAGCCGAATCCCACCTCATCCTCCCCCCTCCTCTCTTCTCGTCTCCATCCGCAGTCGATGACAGTCAGCCATTGCGTCCTCGGACACGCTGCGTGGGGCGCGTGGCGGGGGCAAGTGGCCAATCGTGCCCTGCCTGCCACCGCACATTCACTGGCACTGGCGCGCCTACAGGGAGACCCCTTGCGTAGGATGCTGCTGGACTCCGAGCCACCCGCCCTGCTCCGGCTCAAGAGGAGGAGGAGGAGGAGAGGAAGTTGCTTCACAGCGCCTTGCTTGTCCACAGCTCGAGGCCTCCCCCGCGAGGGCCTTGCCTGCTGCGCGCCCCTGCTGCGCAGGCAGGCGGGGCGCAGACCGCTTGCGGCCCCGGCCTGGCGCAGAGCCGGGCCCGCGCGGAGAGCGCGCCTCCTGCCCGGGCGCGCGGTCGGGGGGCGTTTTCGTGCCTTCGGCCGCAGGGGCGGGCCAAAGTTTCGAGGCCAGCTGGTCAGAGCTGGAGCGCCTGGGGGGGGAGCTGCCTGTATGCAGCCCGAGGCCCTGCAGTCGGGCCGAGGTATGAGGTCGATGTTGGTTCGATTGAACCGACGGAGGGTCTCATGTTCTAGAAGGATGTTATTCTGGCATCGGTCCGACTGTACCAGGCCGCCACCGGCGAGGATACTCTGCAGTTGCTCGTCGCGGCGGGCCAAATTCATGTGCCACATCTTTCTGCCCGGTGGTGCCGCGCCGGCTCTTTGGCAGCCGCGCGCGTGCCCCCACTTCGGGCGGCAGCGCCGGGCGACAGGTTGCCGGGCCCCTCAATGCCTCGTCAGGGCGGACCTGCACGAGCAAGCGCCGCGTCTCTGCCCCGCGAACTTCGCTCCCCAGTCGGTAATCAATCACGCTCTTGCCGCTGGCCAGGGGTCGGACTGTCGCGCCGTGAGGTCGAGCAGCACCCCTTGGCGAGGGCCATTTTTTATCGGGTACGCCGCCTCGTCGGCCTGCTCGAGCAAGACCTTGTAGAGACCGCCGCCCCGCACCACGGGCGCGCTTTGACCGAGCCGTGCAAAAAAAAAAAACACAGCACACAACACACAACACACAACACACAACACACAACACACAACACACAACACACAACACACAACACACAACACACAACACACAACACACAACAAACAACAAACAACAAACAACAAACAACAAACAACAAACAACAAACAACAAACAACAAACAACAAACAACAAACAACAAACAACAACAACAACAACAACAACAACAACATCAACATCAACATCAACATCAACATCAACCATCTTGCGAGCATCGGATGTAACAAGCAATTGTGGCCTTCATGTGTTTTGCCCTCTCCCTCGCACCCGCCCGCGAAGTCATTGGACCAACCCCCTTTAGGGGGGATTCGTTGCATACCAACTCCTGGGAGAAGGATTCGGCACTCTCTATGCGCACCACATCGCCACGGCCGCCAAACGTGCTAACGCGCCCGCGGGCCAAGGCGTCTCGGAGTAAATTGAGGAGGTATCGAGCGGGAGCCGTTGTCGTCGTAGCTGCCCACCCCCCTCCCCAACTTGAACGAATTGCGAGGAGGATTCGAGGCAGACCGCAGTTCCTGAGCTTCGAAGCTTCTCTGGCCAGGGCCTCGCGAAGTAAATCGCGCAAAATTGTCGGGTGAAAGCTGCTGTCATTGTAGCGGGGCGTCCACGAACGTGCGTGAATTGTGAGGATGTCTCGAGCCAGAGCGCAGTTCCTGAGCTTCGAGGCCTCTCTGGCCAGAGCGTCTCGGAATAAATCGCAAGGAAGTGTCGAGCGGGAGCCGCTGTCGCCGTCGCTGGAACTCCACGAGCTTGCGTGAATTACGAGGATGTCTCGAGCCAGAGCGCCGTTCCTGGGCTTCGAGGCTTCTCTGGCCAGGGCCCGTCGAAGTAAATTTCGAGGAAGTATCGAGCGGGAGCCGTTGTCGTCGTAACCGGGCCCACAAAGGCACACATGCACAATCACACCCCCGCTCGAGCGGGAGCTTCGTTTTACAGAAAATGAGGCCGGCGTCGAGGCGAGAGCGCCCGGGCATCTTTCCGGAGATCAACAATAATTATTATTTAGAAATGAGTATTCAACAACAACAACAACAACAACAACAACAACTACAACTACAACTACAACTACAACAACAACAACAACAGCAACAGCAACAGCAACAGCAACAGCAACAAAAACAACAACTACAACAACAACAACGAGAATCCGCATCGTGGAGTTCCACTTCAGCCACGCAATCAGGGACAGTGAATGACCGTTCGGTTCAGCCCCCTCACTCTGATATATACATCTATCTATATATACATATCCCCGCGCACGAGGCCCGGGGCCCGGGCCCCGAGCGCGCATGAGAGGACCGGGGCCTCCGAGACCGCTCCCAGAGCACCCTGGAGGGACCGGAGAGCTCCAAGACGCTCCCAGAAGCCCCCGGGGGACTTCGACAAGCCCTTCCAAGACAGCCCCCACAGCCCCAACATGGCCCAAGATGGGCTCCAGACCGCAATTACACTACCCAAGAGGCCTCCAAGAGGCCTTCAGAGAGCTCCGAGAGGCGTCCCGAGAGAGCCCGAAGAGGCCCAAATCCTTGATGTTCATTGGTTTTGTTAAATGATTTGTGGTTTCTTGCGTTTTCGACCTTCTGGCTCTAGGCCTCCCAGATGGGATCCGAGTAGTTGGGGTCGAACGATCGCGCCGCATCGGCGATGTATTGGCGATGCAGGCGTGGAGCAAATCGGGCTCCACATCGAGCTGCATCGCCGATGCATCGGCGATGCGGCGCGATCCTCCGACCCCATCTACTCGGACCCCATCCAGGAGGCCTCTACCGACGCTCCAAGGCGGCCGACACCCCCAAGGCCGCCCCAAGACCGCCGAAGAGGCCCCCAAACGAGCCCCAAGACGGCTCCAGGGAGCCAGAAAATTGCCCAGGAGGAGCTTCAGACGGCCCAAGAGAGCCCCAGGACAGGCCCGAGATAGGTCACAGAGCGGGAGCGGGAGGCCCCAGGGCGCTCCAAGACGGCCCAGATGGCCCCAACGTGGCCCCAGACGGGCCCATCACGGCCAATACACAGCCCAAGAGGCCTTCAAGAGGCCCCAAAGAGCTCCGAGAGGCGTCCCGAAAGCGCCCGAAGAGGCCCACATCCTTGATTTCCGGTAGTTGTTTCGATGTTTTTCGCTTTCTCGCGCTCTCGAGCTTCCAACGCCCCGAAGATCGCCCAAACCCCGCCGAGGAGGCCCCAAAAAGTGCCCCAAGACGGCCCCGGAGAGCCTGAAGACTGCCCAAGAGCACCCCAAGATTGCCAAGAGAATCCCATGAGAGGCGCAAGATGGGCCCCAGAGCAGGAGCGGGAAGCCCCAAGGCGCTCCAGGACGGCCCAGATGATCCCAACGTGGCCCAAGAGGAGCTCAAGACGGCGAACACGCAGCCCAAGAGAGCTCCGAGAGACGTAATTACCGAGAGAGCCCAAAGAGGCCCAAATCATTGACTTGCATTATTTGTTATGGTTTTCACTTTCTCGCGCTCTCGAGCTTCCAATGCTCGGCGACGGCCGAAGACGCCCCAAGACCGCCCCAAGACTGCCGAAGACGCCCCCGAAAGAGCCCCAAGACGGCTCCAGAGACCCTGCAAATTGCCCACGAGGGGCCCCAGACGGCCCAAGAGGCCCCAGGACAGGCCCGAGATGGACCACAGAGCAGGAGCGGGAGTCCCCAGGGCGCTCGACGACGGCCCAGATGGCCCGGGCCTCCCCCTCCGTCCCTCCTTCCCTCCCGCCCCTTCCCCTTGCTTCCATTCCCTCCTCTCTCCTCTTCTTCCCCTCACCCCTCAGATTTCGTGCTCTTCCTTCCTCTCCTGGGACGGCCCCGCCAGAGCGCCAGACAGGCCCCGCCAGAGCGAGCAGGGCATCGCTTTACCCTATCATTTCACAAGTTGCTTTGCCCCTCCCACCCCTTAGGGGCGGCTCCGGCAGAGCGAGCGGGGTGCTGCTATGGCATATACAGTCCATGTTCTGTCTTGCCCCTCCCACTGCACCCGAGGTAGCCCCTTCAGAGCGCGCGGGATGTGGCTATACCATGATGGTTCTGAGATGTCGCGCTCCTCCCTCCCTTCCTGGGCAAGCCCCGCCAGAGCGCCAGGGAAACCCCCGCCAGAGAGGGCAGGGCATCCCTACACCATATTCTTTCACGCGGTTTTTGCTCCTCCCACCCTTGCAGGGCGGACCCGCCCGAGCGAGCGGCGTGTGGCTATACTATACAATGCCTCAGGTTTCGTGCCCCTCCCTCGCCTCCTGAAACGGCCTCGCCATAGCACCACGAAGAAGGCACCGCCAGAGGCCCCGTCGGAGCTCCGAGAACTTGTGACATGATAGGGTATAGCGATGCCCCGTTCGCTTTGGCGGGGCCTGTCTGGCGCTCTGGCGGGGCCGTCCCAGGAGAGGAAAGAGGAGCACGAAAGCTGAGGGGTGAGGGGAGGAAGAGGAGAGAGGAGGGAATTGACTATCCATCATAGGCTACGGGGGAAGGCCAGGGTTAGGTCGACCCGACCATAACCGAAATATTGAGGTTACAGCCGATCTCCACTCACGTACTCATTCTGCCCGCCACGTCTCTCCTTCCTTGAGGAGTTGAGCGGCAGGGATTGGCAGGGAAAGTCGGGGGCGGGCCAGCGTGTTGCTCTTGGGGCGTCGGCCGCCAGCCAAGAGAGACCACGCACCTTGGGATAACTTGCTTCGGAAGCGCTCCCCCGCGCATTCAGTCTTGAGTCCTCTGAGATCACTCTTTGTGTAGCGTCCGCATCGCGGGACACTAAAATGAAAGGCTCGACATCAAGGTAGTCGCAGGTCATTACTTGGTGCTTCTGGGGGTCCCGAGTTAGGCATGGCAGCGCAACATAATTATTTGGGCACGATTCAAACATGCGACGCTTGCGAATGTTATCCGTTCCCGTGCTGCGATGGTATGCCGATAAAGCGGTCAGGCCGAGTCAAAAACGAGAGTAGGGTGACAACGTCTACGCAGATTTTAAACTGCTGGTCCAAAGGCTCCCCAGAGGACCCCAAGATTGCCCAAGCACACCCCGAGAAGTTGTTTGTCATCTTCATCACCAGCATACGCATGATCATGACAACGAGCATCATCGTCATCATCATCAGCAGCACCAGCATCGTCATCAGCATCATCAACAACACGCTGTGGTCTGCTAGGTCTGCCTTGCTGGTCTGCCGTGTTGGTCTGCCGTGCTGGTTTGCTGAATGCGAATGCGAATGCGAATGTGAGGACCTTAAAGGCTGGGAGGGGAGACCTCCCGAGAGGAAAGGAAGGGGAAAAGGGGGGAGCGGCGCCGAGAGGTTCCTCGATCGGGCCCTCGAACCCCCTTCTGGAAAAGGCCCGGCGGACCGCCTGCCTGAAGCCTGGACCCAGGAACACGAGCCTCAACCGAAATTGAAACGGCCCTGCGCACAGAATCAGCACAACGATCGAAGCTCAACAATGACTATCGCGCCGCATCCTCAACGGTCGCTGCAGCACACAGCGGCGAGAATCAACAAAGAAACCCAAAGCCAAAGCGTGCCGAGGATAGGAGAAGGAAAAGACAGCCTTTAGGGGCTGCGCCGCAGCACTCCCCAGGGCGCAGCAGCCCGAACTCCTCCAAGAGTCACCTGCAAGGCGCCTCCAGTGCTCCTGTGAAGACGGCTGCACGACCTCGTAGTGTACCCGATGCCGCCGTCGGGCCTCCTCGGCCTGGACGCGGTCCAGCGTCGGGGATCGGCGCGAAGGACACCCGTTTCGCAGGCCTGCGCTCCAGCGGCACGCGCTCCGCCACGGCTTCGGACACCTCGCCCTCCTCCGCTCGCACGGAGACAACGGCTACGTCCTCGAAGGGCGGCCGCACTGCCTCCAGGAGCTGCAGGCCCTTGGCGAACTCACCGCGCCGAAAGGCGGCGATGGCCGCCTGGGCGGCAGCGAGCGCCTGCAGCGCATGGCAGGTGGCCCCGCTGCGAGCGCCCGACACGACGCTGCCGTGCAGCTCGGTGCCCACGGCCTCGGTGCCGAATAAGCCGGGCTCGAAGGCGGCACCACGGCGAGCCCCAGCCAGCGCTTGCCGCGTGGCTTCCGTCGCCGCAGCTGCCTTCGCGCCGTCATCCCAGCTCGCGTCGCGCTCGTGCATCTCCGCGTCGTGGTCGCCCCTGCACTGGTCACCCTCGCCGTGCTGCTCAGCGCCGCACTCGCCCTCGCTGCTGTCGGTGGCGACTGCGCCCACGGAGCTGCCCTCATCAAAGGCCTCCTCCTCCAAGGTGGCCGCCACGTCCTCGCTGCGGTGCGATTCCTGGGGCCCCTCGGCGGCCGCTGGCGCGTAGGGCCGCGCCGCGGCGCGGAGAGGCGTCCGCCCCTGGCGGCCCTCTGCGCCGCCAGCCGCCTGCTCGCCGCCAAGCTCGCTGCCGCCGCTGCCGCTGTCGCCGCGCACTGGCGGCCGGGAGCCCTCAGGCACGCGGCGCCGACGTCCTTCCCGCCGCGGCCTGCACGGCGGGCGCGGCGCCCTCGGCCTCGGCCGCAGGAAGTTGTTCCCCAGGGGGAGGCTCCGCGCGCCCGCCGTGGCTACCGCAGGCGACAGCGACGCCGAGCCCACGCATGAGGTCGGCCGCCTGCTCGGTGAGGCCAGTGGCGGCCGCTCCCTCCGAGGAAGTTGGGGAGGCGCCGACGAACTCGGGCGACCCCTGTTCCGCGGCCTCCTTGCGCTTCCTCGCAGCCTTCCCGCTGCGCTGCGCGTTCGTCGGGTGCTGAAGCAGCTCGGCCAGCGCCGAGGCCCCGCCGCCCAGCTCCGCGTGCGCGCCCGCGTTCCGTGCTGCACGCAGCGCCCCGCCTGCGCGCACTCCCATCACGCTCCGCAGCATGGCGGGCGCCATGGCGGAAAGGCGGAGGGCGAGTTCCTGTTCTTCCGCGGTGGACACTAGCGACGGCGCCAGCGCCTCCACCAGCGAGCGCACCGCCGCTGCCGCGTTCTGCCGCGACCCGCCTGCGCTGGCGGCCCCAGCCGCTGCGCCGAGCGCCGCCTTCTCGAGGCCGTCGAGGAGGACCGTCCAGCCCGCCGCGGGGCCATCGCCGCTGCAACAAATGCCAGACCCGCGGGTCGGCGGACCGCGCCACTCAAGAGTGCGAGAACGCCAAACCGCCCTCGCCAGGCTCTTGAGCCAAAATGGCAACGGAGTGCTGGTCTGCCGTGCTGGTCTGCTGTGCTGGTCTGCCGTGTTGGTTGGTTGGTTGGGTGGAGGGGCCTTAGAGGCAGGAATATGAGAAAAGGGGCCGAGGGGCCTCCAGGGGCACCAAGCGCCACCCGAGACACGCCCTCCCGAGAGGGGCCGCCTAGGGCCGCCTCTCCCCGCGGGGGCCGCACTGGGCCTCACCGCGGCCGCACCACAAGGCGAGAAAAGATCTACATACAGAATGCAACTGCCCGCCTCACGCACTACTCTTGGGCCGCGTCGCGCAACGCCCACGGCCCAAAAGACCATCGAGGAGCCGTACACGCTCCTCGGCATCTGGACAACCTGCACTGCCGAGGCGGAAGCCGAGGGCGCGGGCCTCGGCCCAGTCCAGGAGTGACTCAACTCCCGACTTCGGCCCCTGGGCCGCACACGCCACCGCCGCCACCGAGAAGTCGTCCAGGAGGAATGACACGAACCCGCACTCCGAGCCCGAGTGGCCATCGCCCGCGGCGCAGCCGACAGAGTCCGCGACCGGGGGCTCCATGCCGACAGCGTGCTCGATGGCCGAACCTCCCGCGGGCTCCTCCACGACGGCCACGGGCGGCGGCCGCGGCGCCCCAGCGCCCACGGCCACGGGCCCCTCACGCCCAGGCCCCTCAGCGAAACGCACTCTCCAGGTGAGTCGCCGACGAGGCCTCGCGGAGATGCCGAACCTCTCGCATTCGCAGAGGTGCATCAGGTCGACGGCTTTCGCCTGGCTCGCCCAAGCTGGGTCCGCCCACTGCGGGACAGGACCATGCCGAAGGACTCCTGCCACCCCGAGCGGGCCTCCCAGGGCCCCCACCTCCAAGGCGGTGACGTCGGGCCACGGAGCGAAGGATACCCGCTTGACCCTCGCACACCCTTGCCCGACAGGAACAGCCCCGCTCAGCTCGCTGGCCCTCCTGTCGCCGAGCAGCCCGCACGGCACGGGCGCCACGTCGCTCCCCTCGGACTCGCCCTGCTCCTCGGGGGCCAACCTCGGAGCCGCCGGCCATGAGCTCCACCGCGTCGGCAGGCGGGCTCGCCAGAACCGCCACGTCGGTCTCTACCGCCTCGGTGCACCCGGCGCCGTCCTCGCCGGAGCCTTGCTCGGCCAGCTGCGCCACGCCGAGCTCCTCCAGCAGCGCGGCCCAGCGCGCCCACTGGGGAAGGTACGGCTGGGCGCCAGAACGCAGTGGGGTCCTCGCGGCCGCCACTCGGGCGCTGGGCAGCCGCGCTGGCGCGTCAGCCACGCAAGCATCCACAGCGCACTCGAACGGCGGCTGCACTTCGCAGACGCAGGTCTCCACCTCACACACGATGGCCCTCTGCGCCGCACCGCCACGCCCACCACCAGGAAGGAGCCCTCCTGGGAGGCGCGGCCCGCGCTGAGCCCTGCGCCACGCCTGCGGCGGGGCGTCGGCCGACGGGCAGTGCTCGGCATGCCACGCGACGTTCCGCCTCTGCCGCTGCGCCCTGGTCTCGCGGCGTCCGCGGACGCGCGCCACCAAGGCGGGCCGCGCGATGGCTTCGCGGCGAAGGGCTCCCGCCTCCGCGGCGTCGCCGCGCGACCCGCACTCCAGCTGCGCGCGGAGGCTGGCGATGACCGCCTTCGACTCCCGCAGCTCCCTGTCCAGCCGTCTCACCAGGTTGTCTGCCGCCCATCGGGCCGCCGCGACACCGGTGAGCACCTCCCGCACCATTCTGCCCAAGCGCCCGCGCGCGGCGCGCGCCCGAGCACGGCCAGAGCCAAAATGGCTACGGCTGGTCTGCCGTGTTGGTCTGCTATGCTCGTGTGGTCTGCCATGCTGGTCTGCCGCGCTGCTGTCCTCATGCTCTGCTCCTGTGGTCTGCCATGCTGATCCGCCATGCTGGTCTGCCATGCTGGCATGCCGTGCTGGTATGCCGTGCTGTTGCGGTCTGATATGTTCCTGTGGTCTGCCGTGCTGTTCTTCCGTTCTGATCTTCTGCCGTGCTGGTATGCCGTGCTGTTGTGGTCTGCTATGCTCCGCTCTTCTGCCGTGCTGGTCTGCCGTTTCACTCGAGACATCCTCCAAAAATCGCCCCTGGAGGGGACTCCGAATTGGCATCGTCTTGGAATCGCTCCCAGAGGGCTTTCAAACGGCCCCAAGGAGGCCAAGGATGCCCAAAAGACGGCCCGGAGGGCCCCAGGAGCGCCCAAGAGCGCCCCAAGAGGACCCCAAGAAGCCTCAAATAGCGCTACAGGAGGCACACGGACAGCTCTCAATAACCCCAAGACGGACCAAGAGGACCAAGAGATTCCCAGGAGCGCCCCAGGAGGCACCCGAACGGCCCAAGAAAGCCCCAAGACGGCCCAAGATGGCGCCGAATCGGCCCGTAGCCATGTTGGACTCAAGCCATTTGCCTCACCAGACCAGTTTTTCCTCGATTTCGCCTTTGTGACGTGCGCGCCACGATGGCCCAGAAGGCGCCTGCCCGAGCGTGCTTGCTGATCCCTCTCCTCGCCCACTGCGTCTTCGGCACGACCGCAGCGGTGGAGGACACCGTGCTCCTGCAGCTCGGCACGGACGCCACGAGCTTCGACCTCGCCCGCGTCAGTTCCTTGAAGGGCGTGTCTACGGTGACGAACACCAGGCAGCAGAAAGGACGACGCCAAGTCGAGGCGGCTGACCACATGGCGAAGGGGGCCTTTTGGAGCCAGGTGGGGCAGGACATCGATGGCGAAGCCTCAGGCGATAACAGTGGCCATTCGGTGTCGCTGAGCAGCGACGGCAGCCGCGTGGCTATTGGAGCATACCTGAACGACGGTGCTGGGACAACTTCTGGTCACGTTCGCGTCTTCGGGCTCTCGGGCAACACTTGGAGCCAGTTGGGGCAGGACATCGACGGCGAAGCCTCAGGCGATAACAGTGGCTATTCGTGTCGCTGAGCAGCGACGGCAGCCGCGTGGCCATTGGAGCATCATCGAACGACGGTGCTGGGACAACTTCTGGTCACGTTCGCGTCTTCGGGCTCTCGGGCAACACTTGGAGCCAGGTGGGGCAGGACATCGATGGTGAAGCCTCAGGCGATAACAGTGGCCATTCGGTGTCGCTGAGCAGCGACGGCAGCCGCGTGGCTATTGGAGCACACTCGAACGACGGTGCTGGGACAAGTTCTGGTCACGTTCGCGTCTTCGGGCTCTCGCGCAACACTTGGAGCCAGGTGGGGCAGGACATCGATGGCGAAGCCTCATTCGATTACAGTGGCGTTTCGGTGTCGCTGAGCAGCGACGGCAGCCGCGTCGCTATTGGAGCGCTCTCGAACGACGGTGCTGGGACAAGTTCTGGTCACGTTCGCGTCTTCGGGCTCTCGGGCAACACTTGGAGCCAGTTGGGGCAGGACATCGACGGCGAAGCCTCAGGCGATAACAGTGGCCATTCGGTGTCCATGAGCAGCGACGGCAGCCGCGTGGCTATTGGAGCATACCTGAACGACGGTGCTGGGACAACTTCTGGTCACGTTCGCGTCTTTGAGCTCTCGGGCAACACTTGGAACCAATCGGGGCAGGACCTCGATGGCGAAGCCTCAGGCGATAACAGTGGCCATGCGGTGTCGCTGAGCAGCGACGGCAGCCGCGTGGCCATTGGATCATACTTGAACGACGGTGCTGGGTCAAATGTTGGTCACGTTCGCGTCTTTGAACTCTTAGGCAACACTTGGAGCTAGTTGGGGCAGGACATCGATGGCGAAGCCTCAGGCGATAACAGTGGCTATTCGGTGTCGCTGAGCAGCGACGGCAGCCGCGTGGCCATTGGAGCATCCTCGAACGACGGTGCTGGGACAAGTTCTGGTCACGTTCGCGTCTTCGAGACCGAGGCTCCAACTCCTCAGGTTCCAACGCCAGCGCCTACGCCTGCACCGACGCAGGCACCGACTCCAGCGCCAACGCCAGGGCCTACTCCCGCGCCGACGCCTGCACTGGCCCCAGCACCGACGCCAGCGCCTACGCCCATGTTGACCACAACACCGACCCCAGCACCGACCCCGGCACCGACCCCCGCACCGACGCCCGCACCGACCCCCGCACCGACGCCCGCCTCCGCTTCGGCCTCCGGCGACCCTCACCTTGTGAACGTGCACGGGCAGAGGTTCGACCTCTACCAGGCGGGACTGCACACCCTCATCCGTATCCCGAAGACGGCCGCTAGGCACAAGACGTCATTCCTCGTGCAGGCGACGGCGACTCGCCTCGGGACTGGGTGCGAGGACATGTACTTCACGAAGGTCAACATCACCGGCATCTGGGCGCGGGAGCACCGTAGGGAAGACCTCCACTTCATGGCGGAGGAGCCTCGGCGCGGCCGCCCCAAGTGGAACACCTTTCATCACGTCGGCGTGAAGGTCGTCCACGGCCACGTGTTCAAGGGCACGAGATACCTCAACATCTTCGTGCGCGGCTTGAACAGGGCGAAGTTCTCTATTGGAGGGCTGCTCGGCGAGGACGACCATACGGCGGCCAACACGAAGCCCGCGGGGTGCAGGCACGTCGTGAGCATTTGAGGCTGCAGATAACGTCCCGTCGACGGCAAGGGCGCAGAGAGTGAACAAGTTCACGCGAAAAGGCCATCCAGTTCCCCAAGCCCAAAGCACGAGTGCAACATCCATTCCCGAACCTAGCTTGGGCCTGTCCTGGGGCTCTCTTGGGCCGTCTGGGGCTCCGCTTAGGCAATTTTCGGCGGTCTTGGGGCGGTCTTGGGGGCGTCGTCGGCCGTCTTGGAGCGTTGGCAGCAAACGCGAGAAAGCGGAAAACATTGAAAAATTATGGAAAATCAAGGATGTGGGCCTCTTCGGGCTCTCTCGGGACGCCTCTCGGAGCTTTCTTGAAGCCTCTTGGAGGCATTTTGGGCTGTGTATTTGCCGTCTGGGCCGTCTTGGAGCGCCTTGGGACCTCCCGCTCCCGCTCTGTGGCCCAGCTTGGGCCTGTCCTGGGGCTCTCTTGGGCCGTCTGGGGCTCCTCCCGGGCAATTTTCGGGCTCCCTGGGGCAGTTTTGGGGCTCTGTTGGGTGCCTGTTCGGCGGTCGTAGGTCGGTCTTGGGGGCGTATTCGGCCGTCTTCGAGCATTGGAAGCTCGAGAACGCGAGAGGAGGAAAACATCGAACAACCAATGCAAGTCAATGATTTGGGCCTCTTTGGGCTCGCTCGGGACGTCTCTCGGAGCTCTCTTGGGCCCTCTTGGAGGCCTCTTGGGCTTTGTGTTTACCGTCTTGAGCTCCTCTTGGGCCACGTCGGGATCATCTGGGCCGTCCTGGAGCGCCTTGGGGCCTCACGCGCCCGCTCTGGGACTCACCTTGTGCCTCTCCTGGGATTATCCTGGGCAGTCTTGGGCTTCTCTTGGGCAGTCTTCAGCCTCTCCGGGGCCGTCTTGTTTTCGGGCCTCGTCGGCGGTATTGGGGCGGTCTTGGGGGCGTCGTCGGCCGTCTTGGAACGTTGGAAGCTTGAGAACACGAGAAAGCGAAAAACATGTTTTGAAAAAACTATTGGAGATCAAGGATGTGGGCCTCCTCGGGCTGCTCTCTTGGGGCCTCTTGAAGGCCTCTTGGGTTGTGTATTGACCGTGTTGGGCCCATCTGGGGCCACGTTGGTGACATCTGGGCCGTCTTGGAGCGCCTTGGGGCCTCACGCTCACGCTTTGTGGCCCAGCTTGGGCCTGTCCTGGGGCTCTCTTGGGCCGTAGGCTCCTCCCGGGCAATTTTCGGGCTCCCTGGGGCCGTTTTGGGACTCTGTTGGGGGCCTGTGCGGCGGTCTTGGGGCGTTCTTAGGGGCGTCGTCGGCCATCGGAGCGTCGGAAGCTCGAACGCGCGAGACACCGAAAAACATAGAAAAACACATGGAAATCAAGGATTTGGGCCTCTTCGGACTCTCTCGGAACGCCTCTCGGAACTCTCTTGAGGCCTCTTGGAGGCCTCTTGGGCTATGCGTTTGCGGTCTGGAGACCATCTTGGGCCACGTTGGGGCTATCTGAGCTGTCTTGGAGGGGCTGGTCGAAGTCCCCCGTGGGCTTCTGGGAGCGTCTTGTAGCTCCCTGAGGCAGTCAGGGGGCTCCACGGCCCCTCCGGGGTGCTCTGGGAGCGGTCTTGGAGGACCCGGTCGCGCTCGGGGCCCCGGACCCGGGCGCCCGGGCCTTTTGCGCGGGTATATATATATATGTATGTATATATATGTATAAATTATATATATACATATATATGTATATATATATATATATATGTATATATATATATATATATCATCTCTCCCACATGATCATACAGTTTCGCATGTTCGTATTATTCTTCTTCTTCGCATCATTATTCCTATGCGTTGTCTTAGTTTTCTTCGTAGCCAGCGTCTTCTTCATCTTCTTATGTTGATTATTCCTCATTCTTTCGTAGGCGTCGTCCTCATCGTATTCCTCGCCTGCTGCTGCCGCTCGTGCCCCTTCCTCTCCTGAGGAGGAGGAGGAAGGGGAGGAGGATGAGGAGGAGGAGGAGGAGGAGGAGGACGACGAGGACGTGGACGAGGACGAGGACGAGGACGAGGACGAGGACGAGGACGAGGAGGAGGAGGAGGAGGAGGAGGAGGAGGAGGGAGGAGAACAGGAATGGGAAGACCATGAAACATGGGATGGAAGAAAAAACATGGAAAGGGGAAGCAATCGCATGCAACCTGTGCCACGGGCATACATAGGCGTTTAGGCTCAAAGCCCCGCTACAAAGCCCACGGCTTGGAGCCATGGGCAACCCAGCAAAAGATACAGAAGCTTACTACAAAAAACTGGGCGAAAACAGAGAATAGCAAGCTAAACAAAAGCTTCGCGCTTTCCTGCAACAGCCACGCACCAAGGAGCTGGTGGCGACCTTTCGCCGCGCGGCCTTTGACAAGGTCCGCGCGGCGGTCCGCCGAACCACGGAGCAGCACAGCAAGAAAGAAGACGCCCTGAAGACCATGGTGTCAAAAAACCACACACGCACCACAGCCCGACATCCAATTGGTGCCACGCAGAAGCGGCACGACTCGGAAACACAGTATACCACACGAGTGTTATATTGTGTTTCCGAGTCGTGCTGCTTCTGCGTGGCGCCAGGTAACGCATTTTTCGTGGCGCGTCCATAGGAGACGCTTCAACGAGCACACGCGGAAGGCCAAGAGCGCGCGGGACGAGGCGCAGTCCTGGAAGGACGAGGCGAAGACCGCCTGGAAGCAGGCCAAGAGCCGGAAGCTTGCCTTCCTGCCCGATCTTTGCGATAATTCTTGTCACCTTTGACTAATTAAAAACGCAACAGCAACAGAATGCGCCCCGCGTCTGTCTCCCCCCGAGGAGACGCAGCGGCGCCAGGAAACGGAGAAGAATATGACCGCGGCGCAGAGTGCGCCCACGAGAGAGAAGGTGAAGTTGAGCAAGAACTTGGTGCGCTCGAAGGCTTTCGCCATACTTTTCACCATCGCCACTAGAGACCACGGGCGGCGGACATACAGTAGCGACTGTTGGGTGCGACTAGCGTCTCGCGCAGCAGGGCGCTACCGCAGGTCGCCCGCCCATGGCGTGCACAGGCGACAGTGGAAAGCACGCCTGCATGGAGGCGAGCAGCGGCAAGGACGTCCTGGCAAGGAGGCCATTGCCGAGGGTCGGCACAACAGCTTGCCCCCGCCTCTCGGCATATCTGATGATGGCCAACACGACGTCCCTTGCGTGATGAGCATGCACATGTCGGAGTCCTTGCCTGGCGATGAATACTTGGTGGTGAAGGTGTTCGCGTTTCTCGGCGACGGAGAGCACATGTTGACCATCCTCGAGAAGATCGTCGAGGGCGGCCCCTGCGTCGTGGACTACCGCCCCGACACCTTCAACTCGGTGCGGACCCTGCAGGTGGTCTTAGAGGCGATGGGCGGGTTGCTGTTCCGCTACTGGCGCATGCCGAAGCCCAGCGTAGCTGCGGAGGTCGGCGATAGCGAGGTCGCGGAGGAGTAGGCCGCTCTCGACAGGGCGCGGGATTTCGCGCAGGCGGAGGCCCCCCGTGGCAATTTCGACGGCCAGAGGGCCCTGTGGTTGGAGCACCAGCGCGTGGACCCTGACCCCCCCCATCTACCACATGAAGCGGGAGTTCGTGAACAGCCTGCTGAAGTGCATCGCGGACCGCGACCATTTCGCGACCAAGGAGGACTACTGCCCGCTCTTAAAGCCAGACATCCGCAAGGAGTACCAGCTGATGACGGACAGGACCTTGAAGACGCCGATGGGCAACGCGCTGCTTACGATCGGGAAGGCTGGCTTCGGGAAGACACCCTTCATGTGCATCCTTGCCATGGCGACTGCGAGGCGCAATGCAGACGTCGCTAACGAATGCCGCCCAGGTCGTGCCAAGGCTGCTGTTCGGGCTTCCGCAGAGATGGGCTTCTTCCGCGGGGAGGTCGGGGAGCCTTGGGCGCCCTGCATCTTCGATGACGGCGACCTCGCAGATCAGCGGCCTCGCGTCCTCAAGGCCTTCTCTGACCCCACGCAGGCTGAGGCCATGACCTACGCGCGCTGGGGGGCCGCGAATTCGCGCGCGGCCAAGCGAGGCGGCTGGCGATGTCGAAGCGTCGGGGCCAGCCAGGTTTCTTTAGTTTGGCTGTCAGGGTTTGTTGGCGTCTCCCAGGGAAGCGAATCTTGCGCGCCGGTCGGCCCCGCGCTTCGCCTTTGCCCAGGTTTGGCGGTGGCGACGAATAAAATGCCAGCACTGAACCAACTAGCGAGGAGTGGGGGCTCGCGGCGACGTCATCCGATGCCGCAAAGCGGACCGCTGCCATCTTGGCGGACATGATTCGGCCCGCCTTTCCTCAGGGCATGTCCGAGAGCAACTCAGGGGCCATGCTCAAGCGGTGCAACGTCGCCCTGAACACACAGCACTCTCTCTTCTTCAGGCCCGCTGGCAAGGACTCGGTCGTTGAGAAGCTGCCCCATCATGAGCAGCTACATCACGGCCGAGGTGGGCAAGATCATGACGCGGCACCTCAAGCACAGGAAGCGCCGCGACCAGGAGGAGTACGACAGGCTCCGCGCCTTCGAGAAGAAAGATATGCTCGCGCTCATGGCCGAGGCGCGCGATGCAGCGGGCGCGCACGGCGACGGCGGGGACGGCGCCGCCGCCGCCGCCGCGGGCGGCGCGCCAGCTGGCTCCGCGGAGCCGCGGGAGGCAGGCCAGTCGGGTGGCCTTGGGGCTGCGCCCGAGGACGACGACTTGTTCGGCCGCCGCGGCGGCGCCGACGTCGCGGGCGAGGAGGGCGCGCTCGGCTTCGGCGGCGGCATGGACGCGACCGAGCCGACGCCGCCCAGAGGGCTGACGAGACCAACAAGGGCATGATTGCGCCGTGGCAGGCAGGCGCTGCCCCGGGGTCGATCGGCGGCGCGAGCGCGCCGAATGGCGAGGCGGCGCCCGCTGACGCCGCGCCCGAGGTGCAGCCCCCGATCGTCGGTTGCCGCGGCGCTCTCCCTGGGGAGTGCCATCGCGAGCAGATGGGGATCTCCCACGGCCTCGCCAAGG